TATGTGCCCACCCTGTTCCTTTTTTTATGTGACCGAGATGTTATTTCTTTGAAGTCTGAACGCGAAGGTGCGCACGCATATCTCACGTGACTCCTGTTCCAGACCGGTGACTCATAGAATCTCAATCAAACTTCAACCTACAGGTAAGTCTCGTCTAATTTCTCAATTAGTTAATATCTCTGAGTCCCAACTTCCTCACGGGTGCAAGCAACCTGGTTAAGACCTGGAATAAAATTTACCACATTATAGATACTGACAATGACCTCCCTATACTTAATCCTTAATGCTTCAACATCATTATCTGCATATTATCCACACTGTTCCTCACATAACCTAAGGTGCTAACTAGGATAATTTGCTTATCAATCAAGAATGTCTTCAGTTGGTGATCATTTCCTTGATTCTCCTGACCTCAATGTGTGATTCAGGGGTGATATTCTAAGGAGAAATTAGATGCTGGTCACTCACAGGGGTTAAAGGGTTAATATAGTTACACAATCCATGTAAGTTACCTTTAATAGTTGTCCCTCGTTCCTGGTGTTATAGTTTTTGTTAAGGTTTCCTATTGTGATAACACAAGCATTAGTGTAAATGTACTTTGGGTTTGGTTTTAATTCAGCCAGTCAAAATTGTCGTTCATTATAATTCTACCGAAACATGATTGGTAAAGCTGATTATCCTGTGAAAAGACAGCACCGTAAAACTGTCAGGTACTTTTGTCCCTTTCATTTGAAGCTCACTCTGCTGAACCCTTTTAATCCAAACATCAGTTTGTGTATTCTCCATAATGTTCTTCATACATTTCCTGAGGTGCTAACGAGGAGAATTTATTAAACAATATTAGTGATCACTTCCTTCATTGTTGTGACCTTGAAAATTAGAACTAGTCACTCCCAGGGTGTAATGGGTTAAATCAAGTTACATCCCGGTTTTTTTTTCATTTGCACTTTTGGACAAATGAATTGAGTGATCAATCGTCTGCTATGCTATTACATAAATTTTCCCTTTTTTTCTCCTTTTGACAGAAAAACCTCCTGTGTACAAGGGCCCAGACCCTCTCCCAAACAGATTTAACATAAAACCAGGATACTGCTGGGATGGTGTGAACCGGTTGAATGGATTAGAGAAGTGATTTGCCATGTTAGCCAACAAAGCTGCTGCACAGATGCATATATATGGAGCAGTGAAGACATGTGATTGGGACAGTTCATCAGTTGAAACAGGTGCTGTTTTTAGGGCAAAATGTACTTTTGGCATGGTTGGGTGGGTGCCAAATGTTCAGTTGTCATGTACATGTTTGATGTAAATGAAGATATAATTTTAGTATAACACAAACCCAGAAAAGCATTAATTTATTTTTTCACCTCCTCTATACCACTCTTGTGAAACTCCTGGTAGAAAAAAAGTTCTTTTCTCTCAACAGACACCTTGAAAATCAATCCTTCTGTACTTTGTGTAACCTTGTGAGCTTTCTGCCACAAAACAGATGATTCAATAGATCAGTCACCAAAATGTGTCGCAAATGAAACCAATGAACCAAACTATCTTTTGTTAAAATTGTTTGATAAGGAACACTTTTTTTTTAACTCTGTAAAGTAACACAAGTGTAAAATGTAATTCCTTTGAGAAGGTAGAGAGCTACAAAGCAGCATACATGGAAATAAAGAAATATCAGATTGTTAAAAATGTTAACACCATCCAGCTCTAGCTTATCCCAGTTTCTCTCAAACAAAGTGACTAGGAATACCTCAAGTTCCCACTGGATGGGAATCAAGTCGATTGCAGGTTAAACCCCCTTTTCCCGTACTTCCCCGCCAGCATTATTTCAGGCTTCCTTCTCTGGTTACCAGTCCTCATACATACTCCTGGGTACAGAGAGGCACAGTGAGAGTAACTTGGTTGACCAAAGAGAACAAGGCAACAACTCAGCATGGTCTTGATCACAAACTTCTGAACCAATAGTCCAGTGCATTAATATTGGGCCACTGTGTCTTTCACAAGGACAACTGGTTTGTTCCAGCTCTATGATTATTTTGTAGAGTATGAAGTATGCAAGTATTGCATCAAACCCTTTAGCAGGACATCAGTACAATCATGGCAGCAAAAACCTCTAAAAAGTATATTAACTAACTAACTTACAGTTCATGACACTGACAAAAGATTACTTCAAAGCCATAGTTTATTGACTGTACAAACAAATGACAGCCTTGCGCTGGTCATAAATACAATCTGTAAAATCATGGCAGCAAAAACTACTAAAAAACACTTTATAGTTTGCGAGACTCAAAAAGAAGATTACTTCAAAGCTGAGCCATACAAAAGTGGCTTATACTTTATGGATAATACATGTACATACAAATGAAAGCCTTTGGCTTGTCAAACAATTTTAATCATTAAAATCATTACAGAAAATGCTAATTGGGCATTTTTGACAACTAAATAATAAGGCTTAGTAAATATTTCTATGCAGCAAGGCCATCTACAATTTTGATATCAATCTGAAGAAAATAAAAAGGAACATAAGGTGAGCCTAGATGAATTACAATTTTAAAACCTAATACTGCTTTAAGTGTGAGAGTGTGTGTAAGTGTAAGGTGTTATAAAAAAAAAAAAAGGGTGACTTCTAAGAATGGGAGTTTTTGCATCTATTCTACAAGAATATCTCTATTTTGGTGTCTCATGAAATTGCTTCTCACACATAGGTACACTAGTATAAAATTTTCATAACAAAGGCACTTGTTACACTCCTCATTTTAACTGAGTTAGGTGGGAAGAAAAAAGACCTCTTTGAAGTATGTTCTATTCATCCAACATTTCTGAGGTCTAGTTCTAGCTCAGGAAGAAATGTGTGGGCTTAAAGATATTGGCCTCAAGTTTTCCACAAATATGTATTGATCAGTTCAAAGCTACATGAAGCTGGAATTTGAACTTTGGAGGATTCCTATGGGTTTCCCAGGAAGGGGGAAAGTGTTGGTCCTTCCAATTCCTCAGCACATAAGTAAAGTAAGTCTAACAATACCTGACTAATTCTTTGCCAAATTTTTTTTAAGTCTAGTCACTCTCAAAGGGAGCATTGCTGCAAATGAATAAAACAATGCCACGAGTCACTTTTTGCATTGTTTCCAAAACACTCCTGTCAGATCATGGACACCCTGGAATGGTGTTTGGTAAGACTGATCAACTGATTAACTCGAGCTCTCTACCATGCAACCACAAAATTAGTTCTTGGTTCTGTCTCAAGTTAAAAAAATAACTCCTTTGCGGAGTTATGAACTGTAAACTGGTATCTCTCAAAAGGAAAACTTGGAATTTGAACAACCCATATTTACTTGTAAATATGTTACTTTCAGTGATTTTTTAAACCAAAACTAGCCATGTATATGCCTTTTAGGCAGTATTATCTATAATTCTCCATGTAAATTGATTTTATAACGAGAAAAAATTTATATATACTATGGAGGCAATTGAGACAACAGTAGACATCTTGTCCTTTATTGACCTAAAAAACCATCACAAAAGACTTATATACCAGAAAGGATTATCAAATGATAAAACTTCACACAGCCTCTTACTCAAGCTCCCCTCTAACTAACACCAACATAGACTTGATTAAAATAATTACAATCCATATGGCCACTGAGTTCCCCCAAAAATCTATGAAGGATGCAATCATGAATAAATATTCAAGATCATCCCAAGTAGCAAATTTATTGGTAATTTACAGATATAAAAGCTAGTTGCCAATTTTTTTAAGTATTACATCTGTATTAAGTTACACTTGTCAATGTCATTTTGTTATTTTTTGGTGCAAGTAAAACAAATGCACCTCAGAAATTTGTTTTTAGTCAATTGATTTTTTTTTATTATTATTTACCTGTGAAGGTGGAGACACAGCAGCAGTAAGGACAATAGCACTTTTATATCTTCCAGTTTCTGTGTTATTTCTTGCATGTTGAACAATTCCTCTTCAATTATAGTTCCATGTATATGTTCAATCTGTTAAAAAAGAAAAGCCAGTCCACTTTAGAATGAAGCAATCAGTGATACAAACAAAAGTGTACAGAATTCAAAGTAAAAATGGATCAATGCTTCTGTCTGCAAAGATGCGAGTAGAGGAAATGCAAACACAAGTAACAAGAAAATTATGCAGATTTATCGTTTTTGTTACTCTACACTGGGAAAGTTAAAGGAAGAAATAAACTTATCTATTTATTCTGCATTTTCCACACCAACGGCCCCAGTCAGATTTATTTGCTGATCCATTGCGGTTTTTTTTTGTTCATTTACATTCTCATTTAAAAAAAAACTGTTATCCCTTAAACTCCCATAAGTTACCAAGACAGATGTTCTCCTTACAATAGCGATAAAATGTCAAGCAGACAAGAGATGAGAATAAAAAAAAATTAATTAGGGGATTATCAGTTGATCCAATACCAAATTCTCCAAACTTGCACCATACAAATTGTGTAGCAGACAGTGAGGAGAATTACTAAGAAGATCTTGGGAGTTAAAGGGTTATTCTCCTTGAATTAAAAAATAATATTTACTATAATCTAAGAGGAATACCATTTTCATAAACAGAAGGAGAAGGCATATTTCTTTACACTAAACCAACAACAGCTTGTAGAATCTTTCAAATCTTATGTGATTTTTTCGTAATCTACCCTTAAAGACATTTCAACCAATTTAGCAACAAGAATAGCACCCACGGAACGCATTTACATGCAAGAAATACAGAAATACTAAGGGATGTAAGATCTCAATAGAGTTATGTGAAAAGTGAGTTCAGTGAATCGAAGTCTCTTTTTGCCATTCCAGGCCATTTAATTAATCTGTCTGTTTTCTCAGTCACTCATCATCTCGGCAGGCGAAACCAACAATCTAGACTGAATCTGGAGAAGGGCGTTGGATTCTCTGTGCCTTATCCACCACCCTGATATATTTCCTTTTATCTGTAAAGTTTGTCAAACATGTGAATAAAGAATTTTGATGCTACTGAGAACAGAAACACAACACAACACATCCACATATCTAGTTCAAAATAATGAATGTAATTCGAATGCAATGGCTTCTAATGGAAAAAAGCTATTGCTCTCGCCAGTCATATTTTTAATTAACATCAATAATTCTACAATATCAATGTGTTAATGACATAGTACCTCGTCATCCTTCTGTTCAACTGGAGTCTTCCGTTGATCCATCTCTAAAACAAAAGAGAAAGCTTTTAAATTAATACTATGGATGTGGAAGAACCAAAAACTCCATGGTCTATTTTCTTCTTTCTTGAAATGGAAAATTCTAAAACCAAAGGTTCGAGTTCTTAGCTATTTCAAATACATTATTAGATCTCCACTTTTACCTGTCAAGCCCCTTTTAGGGTGATTCCCCTGGTATTGCACTTTGCATCTTGTACTGCGCATATCACTAGGCATAACGCCGTGCGAATTTGCAACATTCGGATTTTTCCTTCTGTTTGAGTCAACCAATTGACAGGCTTACCAGGTAGGATGTCCTTTTGCTTTTCAAAGAGCATTACTTTTCATTTAAAACTTTTGCAACAAGACCATTTACAACAAGACCAGCCCTACCTAAATACAAGGAAGTGTGGGATGTGAACACAGTTCTTGAACATTTAAAAACTTTACATCCTGCAGAGTCTTTATCCCTAAAATTGTTGTCATTAAAACTAGTTATGTTGCTGGCCATATTGTCAGGCCAACGCTGCCAGACCATTCATGCGTTAACTACAAAGGACATGAAAGCCTC